TAATTTCTTTTTTAATTTATCCTATTTCATACATGTCCTCCTTAGAGCTAAGGTATACTGAACCCAATCAATGGGTAATTTCGTACCACATCTGGTAAGTTTGGCACAAGGATAAAAGGCCTAGGGAATTCCCTGGCGGGCCAGTGGTTAGGACTCTGTGCTTTCACTGCTGAGGGTGCGGGTTCAATCCCTGGTCAGGGAACTAAGATTCTGCAAGCCGCTCAGCAGCACGGGCAAAAAAGAAAAGAAAAGGCCTAAAAATATTCCATAAAGAGACCAGAACACATTGGGCACACTGGGTCTGGTTTTGCTAAGAAGCTATATTCCTAAATCTCATATTGCACTATTTCAATTTCCTTTTTGGAAAAAGTTGGGACAGGAATAAGGAAATAAAATATAGAAAGAAGTACTCCATCCTCCTGCCTCCAAACTGAATTACATACTTCTCCCATCCCAGATGGTTGGATAGCAATCCTATTCTTCAGAACCTTTAAAAATATGTATGGAAAGACACTGAACAACCTCACTTGAAATCTATCTAGGGCTACTTAAATGTACTATAGCAAATCATTCCCTGTGTAGATCATGCCCATTTCAACTTGTTCTGATATCATTTGAAAATGGCCCCCTTAACGGAAGGCAAGCTGATCTAACAGGGCACACACATGCTGCCCCACATCATTTCTTGCCTTTGTTGCTATGTACTTAGCGCTCTTGTTAGGCCATCCATTTTGCTTTCTGATGACGCAATCTGTGAACATTTTCCTCAGGCTTCCTACCATAGAACTATGTAAAAATGTTCCCTGAAGAGTCAGGAAGGTAGTGCACCTCATGACTAGCAGTATTGGGGAAAGGAAGGAATACTGGACTGAGATCCAACCCTGACTTCTCACTCACTGTGGGGCTGTGGGAAAGCCGGGCACCCTCTCCAGGCTTCCATTTCCTCATATCTAGTATGCGGAGTCTCTCAAAGTCCTTGCAGCTCTGAAATGCTGAGGCTAAAACCCTAGCAGGGCATCTCCAAATATTACTCAGCAATATGGTGATATGGCAACCAATGTCTTTCCTTCCCAGCCCTCAGTCCAGAGCCTTCTATAACTGTCCCTTTGTTCAATTTAAAAAACAAAAACCAGGGACTTCCCTGGTGGTCCAGTGGCTAAGACTCTGAGCTCCCAACGCAGGGGTCCTGGGTTCAATCCCTGGTCAGGGAACTAGATCCCACATGCCGCAGCTAAGAGTTCTCATGCCACAACTAAAGATCCCTCATGTCACAACTAAGACCTGGCACAGCCAAAATAAATAAATAAATGTAAAAAAAAACCAAAAGACCCACTGTGCCCCAAACCAAAATGATGCTAAACAGTTCACAATTTTGTAATCCCTATTTCTTCTGCTATGTCATTTTAGCTATCTTTTTAGTATTTAGGTCTTTATTTTGAGAAAAGGAAACAAAACTGTCTGTTCTTCTGATCTTTTTCTTCTGCTAAATGAATATCCCTTGTTGGACTTATATTTCTTTCCAATGAAAATTTTTTTTAACATCTTTATTTTAGTATAATTGCTTTACAATGGTGTGTTAGTTTCTGCTTTATAACGAAGTGAATCAGCTATACATATACATATATCCCCATATCTCCTCCCTCTTGGGTTTCCCTCCCACCCTCCCTATCCCACCGCTCTAGGTGGTCACAAAGCACCGAGCTGATCTCGCTGTGCTATGTGGCTGCTTCCCACTAGCTATCTACCTTACGTTTGGTAGTGTATGTATGTCCATGCCCCTCTCTCACTCCAATGAAGATTTTCACTTGGCTGTTCCATGGTCACCTCAAATTCAACCTGTTTAAATCACATCGGTCACCTTCACCCTATCCAGGTACTCCCTTCAGATTTCATTTCCCAGGCTCTGTCACTAACACCACTATTGACCCAGACTTAAGACCTTGGAATGATTTTCCTCTCATCCTATGAACCACCACCATTAGTGAAATCCTTCTGAGTCTTCCTTTATATGGTTTCTTACATTTTCTCCTTCCTCTTTATTAAAAAAAATTTTTTTTGGCTGCATTGGGTCTTCATTGCTGCTCACAGGCTTTCTCTAGTTGCATCGAGCGGGGGCTACTCTTCGTTGTGGTGCGCAGGCTTCTCATTGTGGTGGCTTCTCTTGTTGCGGAGCACAGGCTCTAGAGCGCAGGCTCGGTAGGTGTGGCGCACGGGCTTAGTTGCTCTGCAGCACGTGGGATCTTCCTGGAACAGGGATCATACCCGTGTCCCCTACATTGGCAGGTGGATTTTAACCACTGCGCCACCAGGGAAGTCCCTCTCCTTCCTTTTCATTGTCACTTCTTTGGTTCAACCTGACTGCTTTGTTCCTAAACATCTATAGGAACATCCTAATTAGTTTATCAACACTCTATGCTGCTACAGAACTAGATTATTTTCCTTTAAATATCACTTTTATCATCTTTTGCCCTTGTTCATGCTCTTGAATAGCTCTCTCCTTATTAAAATATACAACAAACCTCAAGGTCCTCCACAATGTCCCTGACCTTCCTCTCCAACCTTGTTTGGGATATTTAGGAGGTATTCCAGCCCCCTAACTCTTATTCACCACTTGCATTCCTACCTTATCTCTCCCCTTCCCTGCAGCCTAGTCTGCCCTCCTCACCCTACTCCAATTGTCAAATCCTTACTCACTCCCCAAAGTCTAACTCAGGTTCCATCCCTCTCTGGGACTTTTACCTTCAGTCCAATAGGAAATTATCCCTGTCGTGGAATATCTGTAGAACTCAATTGGAACCAAAACCATGATTTTCTGCTGTATGTATCTTATGTTATAGTCTCATTTTCTAAATAGACTTCTTGAGAAAAGAGGCTATTTTTTCCAACTCCTCATATTCTTGGTGCCTGTTTTATATTCTTACATAGAATAGAAGCTCAATAAAAATTTGTTGACTGAGATGATAAACCTGCTAAACATTGTCAATAATAACTATGTAGCACATAATCCTCCCCTAATTAATTAGGTGTTAATTCCTTACTAATAATTACTTGTTAAGTGTTCTCTTACCTAACAATCTGGCAATCAACAGTCGTGGACGTAGAGACAGAGGGAGAAAGAATTTGGCTGCAGGAAATCCAGGCCGGGAGAGTAGAACAAAGGGGTTTAATGCTCTATCTCAGTCCTAAAGGGCATTTTCAGAGTGACAGGGTCTAAAATAAGATGATCTGCGATGGCTTAGCCTTTGTTATATATACTAGGTTCTAATGTTTTGGATTTAGAGACAAAGTCAATCCTTTTCTTCTCCACCTATTTTGGAACGTACCTTAGAAACCTCACTGCCTGGGGTTTGCCCACTTCTTTTCTCTTAACACTCAGGGACCTGCCTTTGGCCTGTAACATCTACCACTCATCTTCTTGGGGATCCATGCTCCTAGTCTCCAAGACAAATATGAGATAGGCAGTAAATGAGCCTGTAGACGCAAGATCTAGGAATCCAGGAAAAACAAAAACAAAAACGAAACCACACCCACCCCTTCGAAAGCAGTATTTTCAGCCTGCTCCTGGAATCTTTAACTCCTTCCCACACATTCCTAAACTTAGGTCCTTCCTCTAGCCTGTCGCTTGTGAAGCTGAGGAGAGAAATACTGTAAATCTGGATGCAAAGTTTACATGCAAATCAAAACCCTGTTTCTTAAAATCCTGTAAATTCAGTTTTCATAGCCTTTTGAATTTACTGTTACTAGCCATAATCCCCATTGGCAAAAATTATATAAATAAGTAGATTCAGTACATTTGAAAAGTCATTAAAATGTTAATATAGAATATTTAGAATCACAGAAGCAAGAAAAGCTCATTTGTGAAAATCCTGGGACCCACAGGATGTGAGGGGAAAAAGTGAGGTTGAAACTCAAACTCTTACGCACCTTCACCAGGGCCCATTTTGCTCCTATCTCTTTGACAACTTCGAAGTCTTGTCAAATTTACAATATCCCACAATCATACATTAAGGATAAAAAAAGTTCTAAGGCTCCTGGTCTCTTTAAATGTCACCTCATTAAAAGGGCCTTCCCTGACCACGCACGTAAGAGCAGGACTCAGCTTTCACTGCCTGTCTCCTTTCCATCGCTTTAGTTTTCCCTACAGCATTTTCTACCAAATGACAATGGTCTGTTTATTTGTTTATTGATCATCTTGGCCCATCATCTCTACTTCATGAGGGCTTGGATGTTTTTATTCACTCTGCATTCCCCGAGGTCTGAAAGAGGGTCTCTCGCACAGAATAGACCCCAAATAAATAGGTATGAAGTAAATGAATGAAACAGTATCAGTATCATGGTTTGGAAAGACCAAACCAAACCACACCTAACCAGAACAACTTGCAATATAAACTAAGGATTCAGCATATGTGGTAAAAAGGATCAGAGCTGAAAAATGACACAGAGATCAGCCAGCCAGACCCTGTCACTTCAAAATAAAGAAAATGAGGTCCATGGTTAAGTGACCTGACAAGTCATAAGCTCTTGTTTTGACAGAAATAATAAAATGGTTCACTACAGAGTTCCAATTTCTTGTACAAATATGGTAATTATGGAATTTGATAATGCCATTTTAATCTCAGTGAGGTGGGCCTCATAAATCAGTGGAATAAAAAGGCTGTCAGGTCAGGCCCTTTGCCCAAATAAACCAACCTCACTGTCACCAACACTATGACTTTATTCCTTTGGACCTTGAGAGATTTTTTTAAAACATACTTTACTTACTCTGTTGTCAGCTAACACTTTAACTAGTTGAGAGCAACACGGAGAGCCAAGCTAGGTAGGGGGTGGGAATGGGGAATCTGAGCTTTGAAGCATGGAGCGTCTAGACTCCAGTCCTAGCTGTATGATTTAAATAGTTGATTGGCCCTGGGAAAGTTACTTAATCTCTCTGAGAGTCTGATTAGCTCCGTCTGTGGTATGATTATATGTCTCTGGTAGTGATTATTACTATCCTTTGCCGTTTTGCCTAGCACAAAGCTGGAAGCTCTAGCCCGAGATCGACAGAGGTGAAAGAAAAAGCAAACTTTGGATCCTCCCGAGGAGTCTAGATTCAACGGCCTTTAAAGGTAGGAACCATATGTTAAGCTTTGTCTGTGGTCTCGAGCACTTAGCTCACAGGTAAGCACTGTGCAGGTGCTGGTTACCACTTCAGGAGCCAGAATCGAGAGATTGCGTCCAAGGCAGCAGCCTCAGCCCAGCTGTGGAGAGGGAGGGAGCCCGCCCCCAGCCATCAACTGCTTGGCAACCTCGGGCCTGAAAACGGGGCTAGAGATAGATGAAGGAGCTGTGCCTGCACCTGTCTTTCAGAGGTGCTGAAAGGGCCTGGAAATGTGAGAGGGAGAAAACCATACTTATCAGGAATTCTCTCAAGGAAAGTATCTTGTGTGATCGAAAGGAATGCTTCGATAAGCATCTTGAGGGTGTGTATGTATGTGTGTGTGTTTGGGGTGGGTGATGGGATACCCTAGATGCAGGCTTGAATAGCAACAAATGGTTGCCAGAAAGCCTTCTTAGAAGGGTGAGTCTGGTTTCCTTGTAGGATTTTTGTTTTGCTGAGTGGTGCAGCCAGTGTGAGGCCAGAGTTGAGCCGCTCTTGATCCTGCACAGGAGACTGAGTACTGCCCTTGGGAGTCCTCCTTTTCCGCTCTACCTCCGTGGAGGAATCAGCCTCTTTTCTATTCAAATGTTGAATAATGAAAGAAAATCTGTTTGAATGAGTGTCAGATTTTAAGCCTGCCTCATGTCTCTTGATCAACCTCTGCCTATGGGACCTTAATTTTATGCCTGAGTGTGGCTCCCGATACATCCCTGTAGCCACTTAGACATTAGTTGATATGATTTTGCTACTTGTAACAGCTAATGACTGGACTGGCTGAACTTACTTCATTTGTTTCTCTGTTTCGTAGTATTTCAAATAAAACTTCATAGCAGTTAGTATATATGATACAGATGTGTAGATAGATAATCACAGTTCATGCATTTCATCAAATCCTTGCCTGTGTACCTTTGTTCCTTCCATCCTCTATGCCTCAAATATCTTTCCCTACCTAATGACTATTTCTTATCTGTCAAGGCTCAATTTAAGCCCCTCCTTCTCTATGAAGCCTGCCCTGGTCCTCCAAGTCATCATTAGCTGATCCCTCTTCTACTACATTCTCATACCATATTATTAGTGTCTCTCTCTGTTGGGATTTATAGGCAACAGGCCCTGTCTGTGTCCCACATGACACTGTAAGCTGCACCAGGACAGGGACTATTCATATTCATATCCATTGCACCTGGTGAGCATCTGGTTCTTATCAAACTAGACTGCTAGACTTTAAGCCTCAGGATAAACATAGATTATCTCTTTATAATAGCAATTTTACTCAATGGTAAGCAATTTTAAAACGTATTATATATTTTATCTTATTTTATTTTTTAAATTAATTTATTTTATTTATTTTTGGCTGTGTTGGGTCTTCGTTGCTGCACACGGGCTTTCTCTAGTTACGGCAAGTGGGGGCTACTCTTTGTTGCGGTCCACAGGCTTCTCATCGCGGTGGCTTCTCTTGTTGCGGAGCACGGGCTCTAGGCACGCGGGCTTCAGTAGTTGTGGCTCGCAGGCTCTAGAGCGCAGGCTCAGTAGTTGTGGCGCGTGGGCTTAGTTGCTCCGCGGCATGTGGGATCTTCCCGGACTAGGGCTCGAACCCGTGTCCCCTGCATTGGCAGGTGGATTCCTAACCAGTGCGCCACCAGGGAAGCCCAGTATTATGTATTTTAAATGTTCAGATAGTTCATAGAGAGGCATGCAAAATTAGCTTGAGTTTTAAAGGTAAATACATTTATATCATTTGTTCACATTCCTCTGATATGAAAGGTTTGAGAACTTTTTGTGGTGGGCACTCAACACAAATTTGAGTTGAATTTATTTAAATTCCAGAGGATGTTTATAGTTAATGATTTCTTTCCCTAAAGAAAACAATACGGAGAGGCTGGTAAAAGGGTACAAACTCTCAGTTATAAGAAGAATAAGGTCTGAGGATCTAATGTATAACATGGTGACTATAGTTGTTAAGATTGAATTGTAAATATAATTGAAATTTGCTAAAAGAGTAGAACTTAAATGTCCCCACCAAAAAAGGGGGGGGCAGATCCTTTCACAATGAATACATATATCAAATCATCACATTGCACACTTTAAATATCTTATAACTTTATTTGTCAATTATACCTCAATAAATCTGGGGAAAAAAGAAAACAACGTGGAATCTTATTTATTTTTATTAATAGCAAGGAGATGCATTTTTTTAAAAAATAATGAGCTAGAAAGGCAAGCTGGAAAAATCAATGCTGTATCACCTAAACTGTAAATTTTTTGTTAACAAAAGTTCACTATCTATACATGTAGACTGAGAAATCTTTCAGAGCACTACCCTTCGGCAAAGACCAAATGCTTCTTGTATTTTAAAAAGTTCTTATGATACATCATACACACAAAATAGCATATATAATATATGTACAAGTTTAGTCTTCACAGCCTTTGTAGCATCTGATAAGTAAAATTTTTATTGAACAATAAATATTTATCAAGGGAAATATCTTTGAGACTTTATAGTCTTACCTCATTTATGAAGTCACTGCCGAGAAGTAGGAGGTGAGACTAATATTGCATTTTTAGGTAGGTATATCAGGGGAAGTACAGACAAATAGAAATGAACTAGCTATGACATTATTTGTAAGCCTGGCTTTATACCACATTACTTTAAAACAAAATTAGAAAAATAACTATAAAAGCAATACATGCTCAGTGTAAACAACTTGATAACCTTACCCGTTTTACCCTCTTTCTCTTTTCCTACTCTTTGCAAAGTCAATAGGAAACCAAATGGTCCATCAGGAGTTACTGTAGGACAGTGGAAGGCAAGATGGTGTGGCAGACCAGGAGTGATACAGACACCCCGAGGGACTGACACTAGCTTGACTGTGCATGGGACTCACTGCAGTGAGGGGGCAGATGTACTGCCCAAATTTTGAGCTTTATCTTACAAATACAGTCTCAGAGCTTCAGTCTCCCAATCTCCTTTGTGAAAGCAGTGACCTTCCACTCAATTCCATTTGATTTTAGCAACGTATCTTTTTAATAGCATATTATTTCATCAATGATCCCCCAACAAATCTGAATCAAATGGTCTTATCTCCTTTTTATATCTTATTCTATCATCCACATTAGTATTCCCATGATCATTTATTTAGTCATGCATTAATTGTAGACTTCTTACCTACCAATGAAAATCTTGATCAAAATCCTTCAGTGACTCCTAAAGTTCAAACATCCTATCACAATGGACAAAACCCTTCATGATCTGGCCTCTACCTAGCTCTGCAAACTCTTTAGTCACTTTCATATACATACTGGGCTCCTAACACAAAGACAGTCTTGTGGGTCCCTGTCCTTTCTAGCCTCTAGGATTTACAAATGTTGTTTCCTCAGTGGACATCCTTCCCCTACCCTGGGCTAGCTGTCAAACTCCTTGTGTTCTTCAAGATTTCTGTGCAAGTATCACTCTTCCCTTTCTTGACATGTCTCAGTAAAGTCCTTGCTTTTCTGTGCTGCCATAGCATCTTGTCCACACTTCTATTATAGTATTTATGTTAAATTACTAATTTAAAAATCTTACTTCTACAAGATCAGGGGTCCATATACTCTCAGAGTATCCATGAATCCCCTGAATTATAGCCAGAATTTTAAACAGATTTATTTTCTTCTGGGGAGAAGGTTCAGAGCTCACATCAGAGTCTCAAAAGAGTCCATATTTACGCTCTCAAAACCAAATTAAGAACCACTGCACTAGATTATGAGTCCCTAGGAAAGAAAGAGTGAATTCTATTCTTTGAGTCTCGATAGTTAGATGCCTAATGTTAGCTGAATGAGCTTTTCAGTTATTATTTAAAGATAGATATTTATACTAGTACAGATATATGGTAAATTCAACCTCCTCTATTCATTGATGTTTTTAAGTAGGCAGAAAGTGTGATGTAATGAAAAGCATGTTGGACAAAAGGAAAGATATGGAAGGGTTTATATCAAACTACTAACAGTGGTTATGCTTGAAAAGAGGGATGGGGTAGGGGAGGGATGGGCTTAAACATTTTACTTACACTCTTCTGTCTTGAACAAGTGTTCGTTTTATAATGTGCACTTTTTAGATTTGAAATTTAAAAATATTGCTTTGAACTATGGGACTTTTCTCTTAAGTGCATTAAACATCTAGCTTCAAATTCCAGCTCTGTGACTTATTTAGTTTTGTGAGCCCGGAACCTTACTTAATCTTCATAAACCTACTTCAACTGTAAAATGAGGGTAAGACTTACAAATCGCACATAGTTATTATGTCGCAAAGCCTAGTATAAGTAGGAACTCAGTAAATATTAGTTGAATGTGAAGTAAATGTTTTCATTCTTAAGGTTTTTTTGCAATCCCCAAAGACATCTAAAAATAGAACTCAAAACATGGTCATTATTGTCTCAATACTGTGAGTAAACATAAATGCGGTAAAAGTTTGATGTAACATGGCTGGTTTATTAGGTGGCTATTAGCTCTGACTACTAACTAATAAAGGAATCCCACAGTATGTCCATTTGTTTTTGTTTTTAAACAAAGAAGGGTTACAAAATTGTTCAAAACAATTTGTAATATTTGTACTTCAAGAATGAAGTACAGTTATAAAGCAGAAACTAACACACCATTGTAAAGCAATTATACTCCAATAAAGATGTTAAAAAAAAAAAAGAATCAAGTACAAGTACTGGTTTAAACTAAGTAAAGTACAAGTACATTGTTTTAAAGTAGGCTCTCAGTTTACGTATTCTTACTAGTAATAAGTTCTTTGCAATTTTCACTCACCTCATGGCCTGTTTCCACCTGTAGACATCACACCATGTTTTGTGAAGCTTTCCTGATTTCTTTAGAGGTTCTATAAAAAATAAAATGCCATTGATAATGACAGGTACCTTGTAATGTATACCATCCTTTTTTTCCTATAATTTCATAACTAAAAGTTTTTATTATATATGCAATTGATTGTTTAAAATTTCTAATAGTTAAAATACATAATGTAAAATGTAAAAGTTCTTGTTTCTCTTAGTCTTTTAGTTTTTAAGTCACTTGGTGCTGAGTAGGCACAATGATTTGTATCTTTGGGGTGACTAATCAAAATAAATTCTTATGTATTTAGAAGCATAGCTGGAATACTCTAACATGGCTTAGGGGGCTTTGCTGAATCAGAAGAATTCAAAGCAGTTCATCTGACCTGAAAATAATGAAAGCCAAAAATCTAGAGGTTTTCCTAAATATCCCACATTAAATGAAATCACCTACATCAAGTGACAAGTGAAGTAGGTTTATAAGAGGTTTTTCTGTAGGGGCTAATTGAGATGATTCACAATCAAAAGTAAGTACAAATCCTTTTGGAGAACACTCTATGAATTATATGGTTTTGTGAGCAGTACAGCGGTTTCCAAGCCAGCTGTGTGTTTTATTTATTTTTTCATTATCTGAAGCCTCTTGGGCAGTTTGGCCAAGTCTCTGAATCTCTGGGCTTTCAGTTTCTTGATCTGTATAATAGGCACAGTAATAATAATAGGCACCTCACAGTGCAGAAGTGAGGATTAAGGGAGATGAAAGCTGAGGGTCAGGGGCCAGGATGCAGGAGTGGACAGTGGGGGGACCAAAGGCTTACTCAGTCACCTTTGTCATTTTGTCACGTCCCTGTCCTTTATCCTAAGTGAATCTGTGTTTATTCCCAGCTTGGTTTGCTCTTTTTTTCCCCTTAACTTTACAGAAAATTTGTCTTAAAACATTCTTTTTTGTGCAAATGCTGTTCTTTGTCCTAAAGGGATATGAGAATCAATGGATGGCCTTACTGGCTCTGTCAGTCGCTGCCAGTTGCCACCCAATATCCATTTTCCCTGTTTCTTATAGTAACCCAGTTAAAAAACTATATTCCCCCTTCTCCTTCACAGGTAGGTGTAACCATGGAGATAGATTCTACCCACGAGTTACAAGTAGAAATAGTGTGAGTGACTTTTGGGAAGTTTCCTTAAAAGAGGAAACACATCTTTTTCTTCCCTTTCCTCCTTCCTGCTGGCTGAACACCAGTGAGATAGGTGGAGTCCTAGCAACCTTCTTGGACCAAGAGGTGAGACACCAAGGATGGCAGGAGAGCAAGGTAGAAGGAACCTTGGTCTCTCACACCAAGGAACTGCTTGAATAGCTCTAGATTGCCTACGGAGTTTTTTTTTTTTAATGAAAGAAAGAAATAACCTTCTAGCTTATGTAAGCCACTATTATTTTGGTTTTTCCAACATATACAAATGAGCCCAACCTTAATGATATGCTGGTCCTCTAGGAAGTTGTCTCAAACAAAGAACCATTTTTAATTCTTAGAAGTGTTCTTACACTTCCCTTGATCCTATGTGTGCTTTCTACATATCAACAGTAGATTTTCTACTCTTCAAAAGCCTCTAGTGTAGCCCTCCAGTCTTTGTTTTTACCTTTTCTCTCTTGCATCACCCATATTTTAGATATTATACACTCATTTGAGCTCCTCAGATAGGAACTTGGAAAATGGGGCCACTCTATTGGGGAAGAAAGAGGGAATTTTAGCTAAAATTAAGTTTTTAGTTTTTTTGTGGATTATAGGAAAAGCAGAGTTCATCTGTACTCAGCAGACATTTATTAAGCACATACCATGTAAAAGGCATTGTGCCGGGTCCTGGGAGGAAATATAAAGATGACGTTGTTCTGGCTTCCAGGAGCTTACAGTCTAGTAGGAAAGATGAGACACACAAATAACTACAGCATATGTTGGATTGAGAAAAAATGCAATAAGAAAAGTATAAAGTGCCTAAAACTTTCAGAGGAGAAAAGATGAGTTCCACTTGTGGGGATTAGAGAAAATGTCATGAAGAAGATAGGATTTGAGCTGGGCTTTGAACAGTATGTAGAAATGGTAAAACAAACAAACAAACAAACAAAAAAGGGGGGGTGGGGAGCTCAGCAAAGGATCAGAGGTAGACAGTTACAATGCATCAGTGGATTTAGGGATCCCAGGCAGCATCAAGGATAGAGTAGAAGGTAAAGCTAGACAGGTGGATTAGAGACAGATAAAGGGTGGTGAATATCTTCTTGGGAGCCTGCTCCGAAGTGGAGAAAATAAGGAGTCACTGAAAGATTTTAAGCAAGGGAATAACCAGACCACATGTCTTCAGTCAGAAGATGACTCTTGTGAGTGTAGAGGAAAGACCAGCTGCAGAGAGGCTGGGAGTGGGCACCTTTAATAATCCAGGTAAAATGTAATGATGGCCTGAATTAGGGAAGCGACCGTTAGAAAGGAAAGGAGGGCACAGATAGAAGCAATATTTCAAAGGTTACTACATGAGCTAAATGTATGCTTTGCCCAGGAAAAAGAGTCGGACTGTAATTCCCTGATCCAGAAGTAGGAAATCTATCCATAAAAGAATTTTTAAAATTACTCTACAGTTACATAAACTGGAAAACTAAAAGAAGGCTGAATATGCTGTAATAATGGATTTATTGGTTCTAAAATTTTAGCAGAGCCTTAACATTTATTTTCCCGAGACATCAATTGGGGGTACACTGACTGACCCTGCTAGGAGATGGGGAAAGAATATTGAAAAGCATCTCAGGAAAGAAAGGCAACCATCACTTCTATCCCATTGTTCATCCTTTGCTCAGGTGTTATGGTAAATAGCAGGTAGCAGGGTATTTTACAAGGTAAGGTTCTTTCACTTCTCCTTAGTTATCCCTTTACCCACCCTTATGCACCATCTCTACTCACCCTTTCCCCACACACACACACTCCATAAGGAATCCAGTGAAAATTTAAGAGAAGGAGGTGGCTTTCTAAAGAGCATAAGAATTTTCTAATATTTGCCTCTTCATCGCTCACTAAAACCATGCCAGCATAGCCCCCTGCAAAATGGAAAGGGCTGGCATAGACTCATATAAGGGCATTGTGTTCTCAAATAGCTTTCAGATAAATAACACCCCCCTCCCCCAAATCCTAAATAGCTACTTCCTCATTCTCAGGGGATACAGTCTAGAGATTTCCTCCAATGGACAAATTTGAGCATCTAATCAGCTGCCACTTTGTCTTTTTATTTTTCTGATTATTGAGGCAGATTTAAATAGGTGTTCATACCCAATAATCTCTCTTTTCTCAATAAGGGCAGGAGCTGACAACAAAATAATCATGAACCTATGAATCAGAACAGTGTCCTGTGTAATATTTTGCAAGTTATGGTTTAGTTCATGTTATGTGGGGCACTGAGAGCAATACATGAAATAAAGTAATGAGGATTTTTTTCTTCCGTGATTCCCAAGGTGATTCCTGGCACTCTTGAAAGCAGAAGTGATTAATCAAGTCACTGGAGACAAACAGCAGAAATGTGATTGTCAAAACTATGGATATCGGTTAAACTGTGTTTCACTCATGTAAGTTGCGTGTGTGTGTGTGTGTGTGTGTGTGTGTGTGTGTTGGGAGCTGGTCAGTGGGAGAATCAGCATCTTCGACATTGTCTCTGAGAGAAGATTAGCAGGGATTATTAATTTAAAAGATTCTTACATTTAATAAAAACTCAAAAGCTAAGAAAAATATTGAGCAACCTATACTCCAGTCCTGACATTCAAAATCAAATTCCTTAACTTGGGGTCCACAGTCAGACCATCTGTAAATCTCCTGAAATGATATGCAAAATTTGGTGTAATTTTACATTTTTTTGCAGAGAGGGTGGGCTGGTTTCTAAAAATTCTTAGAGTGACCCTTGACCCTCAAAAAGGTGAGCTCCAGTCATTAAAGAAAAGCAGAGGGAGGAAGAGGAAGAGAGAGAAAGAGAGGAAAGAGGGGAATAAAGAGAATCCAGGAGTCTCATCAACTCTGTCCCCAATCAAATCAATCAAATGTATGTGAAATTTGTACAAGGCACTTATCTATTAACCTTTATATTTATATTAAAAATTAACAACAGTATGATCATCTTCCTTTCAAAAGTCTCTGAGGTTTCAAGCTGGTTTAGATTGCATTTCAGAGCCCATGATATTAGCAAAAACATAGATATTAATTAAATTCATGGAAACTAGAAGAAACGTGTGTCAAAAAAGTTATTTCTTTAGTATGAACTTCTGATTGTTTATGCTAAATCCTTCAGAAGTGCCTTTAGTTAAATGGCTATACCATTTGCAACAAATATAATTTTATATTAAAAGGAGCCATAAAAAGGACAAAAGGGTTATACAAAGGCAAACTTCTATATTTTTCAGAATACTATTGTTTCAGCATATAAAATACTAATTATAGTGGATTCCTATTCTCACTTAAGAATAGAAAGCTTTCAAGTGAAACCTAATTCTTCTCATCATGCTCCCAAAACCCCTGCAGAGGATTTAGAATTCTCACTAATGTTCCTATGTAACTAATTAGCACGTATTTTTCTGTACATAGAGGAGTAAACTCTGATAGAATCCTCTATCCCTTTTCTGTGTTACAAAAGTCATAAATTAACCTCCTTCCATTCCTAATCTTTTCCATTCTTTATTCTTAATCCCGAAGAGGCATACACATATTGGATTTATCTGCCATGTAAAACAAGCATTCAGTCGTCCTTTCTTTAAGATTACTCTCAAATTTTAATTCAGCTTCAACTAAATATGTAAATAGGCAAAACTCTTCAGTCTAAATGTTTCATTAGTTAACAACCTTTAAAGACAGATTATGACATCATACAAAAATTAAGCAAGAAAATGAATGAATATTTTACAAATTGTTTTAACTTTGAATAAAAAGTAATTTCTTTAAATGACTTCCTTAAATAAAAGTTAGCATATATTGAATCTAAATTAGTAAGGATTTATGGGATTTCTTCTCTTATGAAAATATTTGCCCTCTCAATGCCTCTCAAAGTACATAAGAGCACATACTTACCCCATGTTGCTTGCTGTGGTTATATCGTCCTCAGATCAAGGCTTATCTGGATTCTGAATTAACTTAAATGTTATAAAAAGAAGCAGTAGAGGTTTGACTTCCCCGGAAACGAGACTGTCATATGCTAACTAGGCTTTTAAATGAGGAAAACTAGTGTCTCGTCTAATTATATAAGCTCCAGGTCAAATTCTAGCATCAACTAATCAAATAACTGAACTGCATTTAGTTTCAAGGAGTAAAAGAAAGAAAACTGTTTAAGAGGAATGACTTTAGTATCTTAGAAAACTGGAGACTTGAGCATTGAAAAGTTACTTATATGTCAATAAAAGTTAAATAGTTTAAAAGCAAAGTATATATCTTGCTACCTTAAATAATTTGAAGAAAAATATTGGGGAAAATTTAGTTTTCAGTAAAGCAGATATTTCTATATTTTCCAGAAGTTTTGAATTTGCATTATATGTCCTGGTCTCTGAAAACATCCTCTCACCTTACCTTAACTTGCCCAGTATTTATCTCCTTATAAATTCCAGTACAATAAAAGTATTTAATTCTAAAGCCATACCAGTTAATACTAAGCAACATATCCAAAATGTCTAATTGTTAAAATGTATCTTTGAACACTTATAAATAGGGTCTTTTGAAATTAAATACAAAGTTATTATCATGAGAAGCTATAAAAAATACTATTTTAATCTCAACATTTTAAAAGACATCTCAACCCAAATTTATAGTAGTACAACAAAAAATAAAAAAGGATTTAGCAATGATATATTGAGAAATACAAATTTTCACAAGATTTTGAGGGAAGAAATATTATATAATATGGAAGTTATCTATTACATGCACCATCTTGCGGGGGGTCAGTTTTGGAGAAATAGTTTCAGTAAAAACACTAGGGTCTTTATTGTAATTTTAATATGTAGCTGTCATGTACTGCTTTGGTAATTTCAAAATTATGTTATCTAAAAGGTAAAGAAGCTTTTTAGGCATAGAATATATGAGCACACACTAATATACTTTTTAAAAATTGAGGTATAACTCACCTATGTCAGAGAGAAATTTTCCTCTACCCTTCTAGATTCTTCTGGCTGGTCTAAGAATTACAATGAATTTGACATGAGACAGATTAACAGGAGAAAATCAAACAAAAGTTTAATAATGTGGGAGGGAATCAGGAAAACTGAATAGCTCACTAAAATGGCCAAAGCCCTCCCTTAAAAACCATATCAGCTAAAGACAAAAGAGGATGTTGAGGGTAGTGGTTTGGGACTTCAAAGGAGGGCAGTTCAAGTGGAGATGGAAACGCAAATGCAAACGCTTGGTAAACAATTGTTTGTTCGGCCCTACAGAGACAATGCTACAGAGTGGACTCTGATCTCTAGGCCCTGCTCAGCTTCCCCGGCCACACCTAGCCTAAATTGTTTGCAGATACCTCTATTCTGGGAAGAGGTCCTTTATCTAAACTCTTTAGGCAGCTCAGGGGGGAGGTAAAAAGAAAGACTTCAGGAGTCTTCTGTTTCTTAAAAATAATCTCCCTAAATTAATCCTCATGCCAGAGAGACACATTTTGGGGTGGCAAATTTTGCTCCCCTACACATAACATACATAAAATTTGCCCTTTTAATATGAACAATGCAGAGGTTTTTCATGTTCACAAGTTGTGCAACCACTAATTCTAGAACGTTTGCATCACCCCAAAGAGAAGTCCCATGCCTCTGAACTCCTCCTCCCTGGCAACCACTAGTCTACTTCCTGTCTCTATGGATTTGCCTATTCTGGACATTTCACATAAAAGGCCGTATAATATGTGGCCTTTTGTGACTGGCTTCTTTCACTTAGTACAATGTTTTCAAGGTTGATTTATGTTAGAGCATGTGTCAATACTTCATTCCTTTTTATGGCTGAATAACATTCCATTGTACAGATATATCACATTTTATTTATCCATTCATCAGTCAATGGACATCTGGGTTTTCAGTATTGGGCTGGTATGAATAGTGCTGTTATAAACATTTGTATACAAGTCAATTTTCTTGGGTGCATACTTAGGAATTGCTGGGACATATGGTAATTATATGTCAATTTTTTTTTCTTTAAAGATTTATTTATTCATTTTATATTTTATTATTGCTGCGTTGGGTCTTTGTTGCTGCACACGGGCTTTCTCTGGTTGCGGTGAGCAGGGGCTACTCTTCGTTGCAGCGTGTGGACTTCACATCGTGGTGGCTTCTCTTGTTGCAGAGCACGGGCTCTTGGCACACAGGCTTCAGTAGTTGTGCCACGCGGGCTTCAGTAGTTGTGGCTCGCGGGCTCTAGAGCGCAGGCTCAGTAGTTGTGGTGCCTGGGCTTTGTTGCTCCACGGCATGTGGGATCTTCCCGGACCAGGGCTTGAACCTGTGTCCGCTGCATTGGCAGGCGGATTCTTAACCACTGCGCCACCAGGGAAGTCCTATGTCAACTTTTTGAGAAACTGTTTTCCTCAGCGGCTGTACATTTTTCATTCCCACCAGAAATATTTGGGGTTTCCAATTTCTCCACATCCTTGCCAATCTCTGTTATTATGTCTTTTTAAATATAGCCATCCTAGAGATTGGAAAGTGGTATTTTTTTTTTAATATTTATTTATTTGGTTATGCCAGGTCTTAGTTGTGGCAGGCAGGCTCCTTAGTTGTGGCACATGGGCTCCTTAGTTGTGGTAGGCAGCCTCCTTTGTTGTGCCATGTGAACTCTTAGTTGCAGCATGCACATGGGATCTAGTTCTCTGACCAGGAATCGAACCCAAGCCCCCTGCATTCGGAGCATGGAGTCTTAACCACTACGCCACCAGGGAAGTCCTGGGAAGTGGTATCTTATTGTGGGTTTAATTTGTATTTCCCTAAAGAGTAATAATGTTGAACATCTTTCGTTTGCTTATCAGACATTTGTATATCTTCTCTGAAGAAATGTCTATGCAAATCCTTTGTCCATATTTAAACTGGGTT